CTTCTGCCTTTTTGTACAGCGCCATCATCAGGTCATCATTTTAATTTGTCCAGTCCATTGTTTTATGATTAAGTAACTGCCAGCTGTAGTTTGTGTTTAGTGTTTCAAAGCACTGCTGCTGCCTCACAGGGTCGTTGGCATGGCTGTAGTCTTGCTTACAGATTTTCACTGAAATATATCCAGATTTTTTAAAAGAAAGATTTAATTTTAGAACTAGAAGGGCTGGAAGGGCACTTTGAGAGCGCAGACCTCCACCAAGGCCACGTGCACTGTCTTGCAATGTTAAAGGGACAGCTCATACCCAAAACAAAAATACACATTTTTCTTCTTCTCTGTAACGCTATTTATCAGTGTGATTGTTTTTTTGTGAGTTGCTGTGTGTTGGAGATACTGGCCATAGAGATGTCTGTACTCTCTTGAACATAATGGAACTAGATGGCACTCAACTTGTGGTACTTAAAGCTTAAAAAAAAAACAAAAAAAAAAAAACAACTCAACAGCAATGTCGCTTTCCACAAATCCTGATAACCAAGATAATCCATAGACCTTGTAGTTCGGTTGAAAGAAAATAGATCTTTCGTGAAACTGCTCTCAAACAGGTGTGGGGATTATCTGTCTATTTTGCTGTTGAGTTTTTTGAGTGTATCTTTGGCTATTTGAGCACCACAAGCCGAGTGCCTTCTAGTTCCATTATATTCAAGAGAAGACAGACATCTCTATGGCCAGTATCTCCAACACGCTGCTGACAAACAAACCAACAAAAGGGCTGAGCCAAAAACATAACCTCTTTGGTGGAGGTAATTAAAGTTTCCACACCTTCCTCCTGTGCTGGTCACCACAGTTTACATTAAGCTGGGTCATCTTTGAGGTAGGGCAGCTGCTTCTCCTAAAAGAAGGCAATGAAATGAAGAGAGTGACAAGAAAAAGAGCTTCCTGTTATGCTGCACGTCATTATAATCATCAACAATAAGTGATACTTTTGTAATTTTAACATGAATGTTTTGCATTATGGATACATAGCGTATACTCTAGTGTTCCCCTTATTTTGAAAAGCCACATTAATGACACAGTTTTTGAAATGTGAAAATAATGAGCCCCACATGCACTGTTTTAAGGTATTTTTTTCCATCAACACTTATTGATAAACTTGCTGTAGGTCAACTGTTTCACCCTACAGTGGCTGCTGAGCTGTGCACATACACATAAGCAAATAAAATGAGCTTTTCTAAACCCCAGTGTAGCTGTAATGAAGCCTGCAGGTGCCACCTGCTGTACCAATGCACACACACGTGCGCACACACACACACAAACACACGCGCACACACACACATATAGCATATAAACATGATTCACAGCAGCAGGAGAGTTAGTGAGCCGTGCAGTCAGGACTCTGTGTTTGTCTAAACAGCAGGAGTCTGTTACAACAAGACATCCCAACAATAAGAGCCTCCCATATCATAGACTGGGAGGCAGAGAGAGATCGTCACTGTGCTGTATATGTGAGAGTCAGTGGAGTGTGACTGAACGCGTCTCTGTTGTTTCCTAACATGCTGTGTGTTTGTGTATGTGTGTGTGTGTGTGTGTGTGTGTGTGTCTGTGAAATGGAGAGCTCATCAATAATCAGTTACTCTTCATGTTATCTGGAAACTTGTGACAGTTTTCAACATTTTATGGACTAAATGATTAATCAATTAATCATAAAAATAACTGACAGATTAATAAACAGTAAACAAGTAATCAATAGTTGCAGCCCTAATTAAATTATTGTAAATAAGTCATTTGGCAGGTTGAGTTTGAGTGTATGTCATGATCAGTTATAATTGTTTTCTGACTGTTATTTTATGTGTTAATCGATCATTAATGTTGATATTGAAATTAAAAAATTTGAATTTGTTTTTGATCCCCAGAGAGAATCTGGGTCACGTTAAAGGAGCTATATGTAAGAAATCTAAAGCAAATAGTCGTAAAATCATTATTATATGTCAAAGAGACTAAGGAATAATGTTCATATAACATACTGATCTCACCGACAACAATAGCACAGCCAGAATATTCACATTTTTTAAAAAAAATTAAGGTCCGCACATCATGTTTATGTTTTGAATTTGTGTTGTGGCCTGTTGCGCCACCCACCGCCGACTACCAGTCACACAGTCAGTAGAGTCTCAGCATCAGTTACAGTTACGACTGAGCTACAATGGCTGACGGTGCGACTAAACCCAAACGGCCTCGTTATGATTTCCAAAAAACACCAAGACAAAACTCGAGGCAAAGCGAGGGTCTATATAGGAGATGCTTTTGAATGGTGGAGACGGTTGAAAGCGGAGAAGAATTTGAAATCGGATGTCGAAGTGGCTACTCTTCTCCTCGACAGGTAAGCTTTAGCCAAAGTTGGCTAACTAGCATCATAGCTAGACGGGGATGGACATTTCGAATACTTTCAACTGTTATTCATTTTCAATCATACATTGTAGCCCATGTGCAGGTGGGTCATCGACTAGACAGATTTTTTTGAGAAACAAACGTTAGCAGCACGTCAAGCAACATTGGCAGTGTCCCGGGACATAGCATTAGCAGCCGGCTCCTCCTCCGCTGTATCCCGGCAGCAGCGTTAGCAGCAGAGAAGCCAGACTTGCTCGAACTGGGGGTGGACACGACTCGCGGCAGTATTTTGAATTTGAGTGCAGTAACAGTTTTGGCCGCATTCTTACATACGGCGCCTTTAAAGTTGGTCTTAGATACACATATAAAGAAATTATAAGAAATAGAAAATAAAAACATAAGTATGCCAAAATATGTGCATTTTGGTACAATGTAGTGCACAATATTTAGAGAGAAAATAGAGAAATAAATATGTACGAATATGTGCATCATACAATAATATAAGCTATAACCTAGATATAAATAAAAATGCTAAGAAATGGGATCTTTAAGTGTGTTAAATATAAATGCAAGAATAGTATAATGATATAATATTATTATCTCTAATAACTAAATTATTGAAATCTGATATTTATTTTGGTTTAAACCTTTTTTAACCTACTTTCTCCCTCGTCATGCCCCTGACTCCTGATTCAGAACTACAGCTGTTGTAGAACTGATTCATAATTAATCATAAATTATGTGGCATTCATCCCGTGTCAGCAGAATGGGATCACCCCCCACTGCTAACCCCAGATAAATGGAAATACAGAGCAAAACGCCCTTTTTTAATCATTGTACTTACATGTAGAGGTTTGTTAACAAATTGAACTAGATTTAAAGAAATGGTATAGTTCCTTATTAAACAGGATTCATAGTGCAACACTGTGCTAAGTGTTTACTCCACCACCAGTGTATTAGATGGTATTATACTGTCAGGTGTTGTTCTTATTTGGTCTTTGATCATGTGTACATATCAGTGTTTGTTGTGTTACCTGCCACACTCTCAGCTGGAGGGAGAGAGCGAAGTCTCCTGGAGTGAGAGGACAGCTCGCAGCAGGGAGGCGCTCTGCAGGGCTCTGTTACTTGTCATACAATGTGTGTGTCAGCATGCTCATAGATCTGAACACACAGCTGATGTGTTTGTGTGTACATGTACAGTGTATATATGCAGTAGAGCGTGGTCTCTGTCTTAGAGGCAGTATCAGGGGAATGTTGAGGCAGTGTTGACATGTAGAGAGGGAAGTTTTTGGCTCGTGATGTCAGAGTGTATGTAGTTATCTCCTTTGAGATGCATAAAAAATGAGGCAACATTTCGTGCAATGGTGGATGTGCCAAGAATAGTGCTGGAGCTAACCTTGCTAGCAAGACTTTTAAATGTTCACACATACATGTACAGTTACTCCTACACTATGTTGAAGACCAGAGGTGTCATGCAGAAGGTGCTACAGAGTCACTGCTCCAACATCTTCTTTTGTGCATGAATGGCCAACATAGGTTTAGGGTTAGGGTTCACCGCCTGTCGGTTTTTATGTTTTGGTATTTTCAAAGCAGTGCTTGTATGGATGGGAATTTTTTTGAGAATGGAGGAAAAACCTTATTTTCAAAAATACCCATGTACAATGTGGACTAGGCCTCAGAGAGACACAAGAACATGCAGTGCAGTGCATCCACAAAAACAGATACCCGGGAACCTTATAACCAGTCTTTGTTTTCTTGTGTTAACTCTGAGGTTAACTGAGGCGTCGTTCATCAAGGCCACATGGGGCTTGAATCATTCAGCCTTACCCTCAAACTTTAACTAGAATACTAAACACAAGCATTAACATGCACCCCGAGCCTTTAGGTTTTATCTGGGTAGAGCAGAAGGGTAAATGTGCCACTGAAGATGAACTACGGCTCAATCCCCGAACCTCATCAGGAGGTGAGTCACATTTGGACAATAACACCTTCCCCTCTCTGCAACCACAAATTGGCTCAGGGCCTTTGCCAGCTTTTCAGAATTACTGTGTGCTCAGCTAAGATGATGTCCTGTGAAAACATTTTTCAATTAGACTTAAAGTTGTCACCAGCTCTTTGTGCTTTGTGTTACAAAACATAAGGAGTAAATTGGGGGGGGGGCATACAATGAGCATGTATTTAATGTCTTGAAAATACACTTCTCCAGGCCTTGAATTCAAGTTCACCAGAGTTTTTGCTCCACAGTTTTCCCATCTTTCTTTCTCTACTTCTCACTACTCTTCCAGCTATCTGTCTAATTAGCTTCTGTATGTTTACATCCTAATGTCAGACACATTTTACTTTCTTGCAAAACAATAATTAGATTTGGGCGTGCTTACATCAGCTGTGTTTTAGCAAATAATGTTGTTTCCTAAAATGTCAACAAATAATCTGAAAAACTTTGGTTTTGTTTTGCACTACATATTTCCAGCTTTAATATTTGCTGTATGCTCCTTTCCCACTCAAATTCCACCTGAAGGGAAGAAGCCTCGGTGACACTTTACGCCTAAAATCAAGCTTAAATTGACTAATTCAGCTAAACCCCTAACCTGAGCCCATCTTCTGTGTCTCCCCTGCAGAGAAAACCCAGAAGGGAGAAAAGAGGAAGCAGAATGGAGTGAAGGAGAAAGGGAAGGAGAGGAGGAAGAGTAGTCCTGAGAAGAAAAAGGAGAGATTGAAGCCAGAGAACGGCTCCCTGCTAAAAGAGCTAGGTACATCATGTGTTTGTGTGCGTGTGTGCGTGGGTGGGTGTACGCCCTGCAGTGTTTTGCAGCATTTCCAAACTGATAAGATGCAACTCATTGGCTGAACATATGCCACATGTGTGTGTGTGTGTTTGTGTTTGTGTGTCCATAGGAAAGATCCTGCTGACACAAGGTTGCAGCACATTCAGTAGCCTCCATCGGTAATTTAGTTGAGGTGGCGTTTTAAATTCAATAACAAAACAGCCAATAAGTAATATAAGTTGGATATCTCAGGATGACATTATTTCATTTTCGACATGATACAGACTTTATGTGCGGAAACTTTGTGTTAAATAAATTATTGATGCATCAAGAGTGCTGCAAGCTTCAACAAAAACATGTCATAGTCTGCTGTGGTCAGCATCCTTTCCATGCTGGTGTCTTACCTTTTTTTCTATACTGCAGACTTATGTCTCTATCATCGGTGTTGTCATACATTTTCTGTGCGACACTTAATGTAGACCAAGTGTCAGTTGCAATGGTAAAATCTTTAATAGGACTTGACTGCGACTCAGCTCGGCAAGTGTGATGTGATGCATCAGTCTGTTGGAGGTTGGCAGAGTAACGTCACTCAGAGAAAAGTGAAGGAGAGAGATGCAGCGAGACTAGATATTATAAGAATGTCAATCCTATACATCATACAGACCACCTCTTAGGTCTCCTGTAATGAATAAATCACCTTGTATAAGCCTGTAGAACTGTGGAACGTCCTCCTAAGAGGTACAACTTGAGCTGCAATCACACTATGAAGTATGGGAGCAGAGCATTAGTCCTCCCATGGAGAGATAACCTCACTGAGCACCAAACCATCCTACAACAGTAAGAGTGGAAGCTTGGTGCTTCCAGGGCCATTATAGAATTTTTTAAAATAGATTTATTGTTTTAACTCATGCAGCACTGTAGCTTGCTTGGTAGGTCGGTAGGTCAGTCGTGGATTGGTCGGTTCATCGATTGATTGGTCCACAAAAAATTCTCCACCCTTTGCTGCCAGTTTTTGTCCTAGGAGGCTGAAATTTGGCATGGAGGTTAAGTGTGTGTGTGTGTGTGTGTGTGTGTGTGTGTGTGTGTGTGTGTGTGTGTGTGTGTGTGGCGGTGTGTTCTTGTGTTCATGTCAATTGGCTTACAGAGGGCGTGGCAATGGGGGTATGCATGGTTATTTCTGATCGATGATGATGAGTTGAATGTAAACTGAATCCCTTTGAGGAATTTCAGGATGTCACCTTGGTCTTCAGGATGTTAAATCCATTTGTCTTATAGACATAACTATTTAACTTTATGAAAAAGTAATGAACAACCTAAAATAAGAATAATCTGGAGCATCCCTAATTTTAAAAAATGTTTTATGTACAACACGGTGCTCTTGCTGAGCGCTTTAGTGTCTTTTGTTGCTGCTGGAGTACGAGTAAAAACGCCATGAAGTAAGCTGAGGAAAAAGAGGCTCTGTTATCTTCTCATTTTCAGTAACACACATCTTGCAAAGCCTGCTGTCTGTCACAGTGAATAAAAGACCGGCGGACCCAGCAGGACCACTCACATGTAAACACAGATACTATGGGGGATATAATAAAAGCACAATACTGCCTGATCATGTACGATACGTCAGTGTAGTCTCGCGGTGGTGCTATCAGTTGGAGAAACCTGACTATGACCTGTAAATTAAAAACCTGCTGTGTTTACTGTGGAACTCCTGATGACCCCCCGTGTTAAATCCAGCTAACGCTTTTCAGTTCAACTCACCTCGCCTAATCAGTGTCACTGTAAACATCATCTCCCTGTGATTTTGAAAAATAATTTGACACCCACAAGCCAGACCATTATTTGTGTTAAGAAGAGTGAAAGTTGGTAATGAGAGGTGGAAAAAAAAACAGGCAAGGAAATGATGGTAAAACCGCAAAGAGATGGAGAAACTCTGTCAGTGTTAATCTTTGTCATTAATGAGCGACTGGGAGAGAGGCACTGTTAGAATAAGGGAGAGAGGCCTGTCACTGCCAATTCTCATCATTAGTGAGACGAGGATGGATAATAATGGCTGTCTGTCCTGCTAGAAGGTGATCCATTCCCCACCACCGATCATTACCGCTACATATGACGCTCAGAAGACAGATACTAAATGGAAATTGAGCACGCACATTATATGTATGTGGATATTTGTTCGAAACATTGACAATTTACAGGCATTTAGCTGACACTAGTATCCAAGGCAGCTCGAAGTGAATGAGGAGATAAAGGCTTAGTGTCTCACTTGAGGACACAAGATAGACTGTTGATGGACGCGCACACTGGCGGCTGTGGTGATTGAATCTGTAGCTTTTAAGTTGTCAACACGAGACAAGCCACCTGACTGACTATTGGGGTGCGAATTAGCATTTCAATGCACAGACATCTTCATAAAAGTCAAAAAGATACTCTGAAGCAGTTTGTCCGTCACTGAGCAGTGAGAGGTTTATTTTTTATTTTCCACCGAGCAGAAGTAATCCAGGTTCATGTTAGCAAGGGCAGAAATGTGTTGACTGATGTGGTAAATCAGGGGTGCAGATACCACCAAAGCCTCTCTATTCAGAAACATGGGAGTTTCTGATTTTAAATTGAATATCCCCTCCCTCTGTTCATGTCCATCTATTTACCTCTCTATTTGCATTCATTGAGGCAGACAGGCTCGCTTTGAAAGTTGGCACTCTGGGATGTGTCGGCAGCTCCCGTAAAGTCATATTTCCTGACATCCTGAAAACATCCTCAGTTTATTTTTTCAGATGCAGCTGCTTCATGGGACAGCGGCGCTGTGACAGTTTGATGAGAGCTGGTGCTGTCGGCTCATGGCAGAACCAGAGCGCGCTGTCAGGATCAAACACGGTGTTTCCTCTCTTTCAGGTTACATCTTTCAGGCTACCGCTTTTATTTTGGAAATGTTTCCCTCCAAAATTACATAACCATTCAAAGTCATTTGAAAAAGGTAAAAACCACACATGTTAAATGATTTATAGCATGAAGATCAAATAAAGGGTTGTGCTTTTAGGGGGAAACCGCATGGTCAACAAAATACAGACTGGAACCTTGAAGAGTATCAGTGGGGTTTTCTATTAAATAGCATCTGAAAAATGCTTTTTGTACAAATAGTCCGCACACTGTGGCTCCCTTAAGTGCAATTTGTTAGCACATCCACAACTGACATTTCGAGCTAATGCTCTGATCTAGTCTGAAGAAGAGCATTAGCTCAAAATGTCACTTGTGGATGTGCTAATAAATTGCTCTTAAGGGAGCTACAGTGTGCGGTCCTTTCTTCATGTTTTATTGCTCTTTTATTGGTCCAGCCCCTGCCTTAAACAGGTTTTAGCTGTGTGTAAGTACTATACATATTTTGTCCTCATATTGACAAGTCCCCCCTAGCATTACCAAGCCGTAATTTGAAACATTTAATAAATGGTTTATAACACTATAATATCCGATTATAGCGATTTTGCCTTTATTTGACAGATGACAGAGTAGACTGGAGACAAAGGGAGAGAGAGGGGTATCAACGTCCCAAATTGAACCCTGTATGTTGCAGTAATGTGGTATTACTGTAACTAGTGCTGTTCTGGTTAAGGAATTTCCCCTGCAGTGATCAAGGTTGGCTTCACAGCTCAATGTGCAGCATTACAGCTATTTTTGTTGTTTTAATATATTGGGCGTGAGTTACTGCCCCAAGCGAGGGAGTTCAGGTATCTTGGGGTCTTGTTCACAAGTGAGGGTAGAATGGGGCGTGACATGGATCAGCAGTTTGGCACAGCGTCTGCAGTGATGCGGGCGCTGTGCAGGATCTTCATGGTGAAGAGGGAGCTGAGCTGGAAGGCAAAGCTGTCGATTTACTGGTCCATCTATGCCCCACCCCTCACCTATGGTCATAAGCTCTGGGTAATGACCGAAAGAACGAGGTCGCAGATACAAGCCGCCGAAATGAGTTTTCTCCATGGGGTGTCTGGGCTTAGTCTTAGAGATAGGGCAGGAGCTCGGACATCCAGAGGGAGCTCGGAGTAGAGCCGCTGCTCCTTCGTGTTGAAAGGGGCCAGTTGAAGTGGTACGGGCATCTGATCAGGATGCCTCCTGGGTGCCTCCCGCTGGAGGTGGTCAGGGCACGTCCCACTGGGGCAGATGCTGAACACACTGGAGGGATTATATATCTCGTCAGGTCTGGGAACACCTTGGGGGTCCCCCAGGGGGAGCTGGAAAGCGTTGCTGACATAATTTGTTCGGCCTGTTGCCCTTGAGACCTGGCTTCAGATAAGAGTTTGAAAATGGATGGATGGACTTATTTTATCCTGATTTTAGTACTTTGTAAATAAGCTTTATTGTTAGGCTGTGATTAGGTATATTGTTGCTTTTTAAGTGACAAACATGACACAGTTTTAAGTTGTGTCATCTTGTTCATTGTTAAATGCACAACACAGAAGGACAATGAGGCAAGATAAGGGGCGCTCCAGCAGATACCCTTTGGTTGCGTCTGGTTGCTATGATACAGAATATCCGGGGAAGTAAAAATTTTGGCACAAGGTAGAGTACCTGCTCTGGAAGTTAGGTGAGGTAAGGCTGCAGCACGTAGGGAGAGAGGACGGACCCGACAGTCTGTACTGGTTCAGTATTAATTTCCAGATGTTCAGTGATGTGAGGGTTGTGATTGGCTGTTTGTTCCAACCCTCCTCCACTGTGATTGGATGACTGGGTAAAGTGACAGCGACAAGTGGCTGCAGCGTTTTACCCAAAGTTGAATATTTTTTAACTCTCAAAGGCCATGCAGAACAGCTTCAGAGCAGTCCCCAGTGTAGAATAGATGCTTAGTGGCTTGTCACACGTGAACACAGCAGTTGCGGCAGTTTCTTGCCATCCTTGCAGTTGGCTTATCAGTAGTGCAGTATTGCAATATTGTGGTTATCATGACAGCCCTAGCTGTAACGGCTACCAAGGTGCAACTATAGGAACTTCTATCAACTTTA